AATCATGAGGTATTAAAAATAATAATTTGGGAGTGAGAGGATTTCTTCTGGTTTTGAGCTTTTAGGGTTCCGGTTTCCCAGTTTTCCTCCCCCCCCCCCCCCCAACAAACTAACAAACAAAACACATGAGGGCTAGAAACTTTACTTTTTTTTTTTTTTTAATGAGATTGTTGTGGGTTCCAGGGCTCCAGGAGCTGGAGCTCAAAGAAATACACCAAATATTGGAGAATCGCAATAAAATCAGAAGCGTTGACAATACAGCAGGAGGAATTTCACTGGTGCTAATGGGGTCAAACTCCTTGAGCTAGGCTGATTTACACCAGCTGAGGATTTGGCCCAATGGAATTCTACTGGTGTCAAACCAGTGCAAGCGAGAGCAGAATTAGGACAGTTGTGTCAGATTTGGGAACTCTTAAGAACATAACGGCCATACTGGGTCAGACCAAAGGTCCATCTTGCCCAATATCCTGTCTTCTGGCAGTGGCCAATGCCAGGTGCCCCAGAAGGAATGAACAGAACAGGTAATCATCAAGTGATCCATTCCTTGTCATCCATTTCCAGCTTCTAGTAAACAGAAGCTAGGGACGCTATCCCTGCCCATCCTGGCTAATAGCCATTGATGGAGCTATCCTCCATGAATTTATCTAGTTCTTTTTTGAACCCGGTTATAGTCTTAGCCTTCACAAAATCCTCTGGCAAGGAGTTCCATAGGTTGACTGTGCATTGTGTGGAAAAAATACTTCCTTTTGTTTGTTTTAAACCAGCTGTCTATTAATTTCATTTGGTGACCCCTAATTCTTGTGTTATGAGAAGGAGTAAATAACATTTCCTTTTTACTTTCTCCACACCAGTCATGATTTTATAGACCTCTGTCATATCCCCCCTTAGTCGTCTCTTTTCCAAGCTGAAAAGTCTCAGTCTTATTAATCTCTCCTCATACAGAAGCCGTTCTATACCCCTAATAATTTTTGTTGCCCTTTTCTGAACCTTTTCCAATTCCAATACACCTCTACCCCAATATAACGCGACCCGATATAACACAAATTCGGATATAACGCGGTAAAGCAGCCTCCGGGGGGGGGGCAGGGCTGCGCACTCCGGTGGATCAAAGCAAGTTCGATATAACGCGGTTTCACCTATAACGCGGTAAGATTTTTTGGCTCCCGAGGACAGTGTTATATTGAGGTAGAGGTGTATATCTTTTTTGAGATGGGGCAACCATATCTGCATGCAGTATTCAAGGTGTGGGTGTACCATGGATTTATATAGAGGCAATATGATATGATATTTTCTGTCTTAACACTTCTGTCTTCTGAAGTGTTCTTAATCCTGCAGACGCTCCCCCTGCTCAAGCTTCCTGTGTCTGTAATGATATTTGCGCCTGACTGTAAACCATTCCGCCTCAAAGATCTTTGAAGTTAATGATCAACTGAATGCTTCACAAACATTAACAAACTGAATCAGGCCCCCGCTCTTTCCCTGACAACCCCTGGGTCTTAGTATCTGCTTCAAGACGCCACCTTACTCTTTGTCCTGTGAGGCAAAATAACTGCACTTCTTTTTGTCTTCGCTCAATTGCACGGTTTTATTGTGCAGTGACACAGTGTCTGCCCATATCAGCGTCACAGCCTTGTGAGGCCCATAATAAATACACCATGCTCTTTATCTGCCTTGCCCAGCCCATGTGGGGCGGTTGGGTGAAAATTCTGAACTGCTCTGTGAGTTTTGAGAATGGTAGCGAACATGGTGCCAGTCACAACCGTTTGAGGTGTGAATACTCAAGGAGGATCCCAGGATCATTCTTGGAGACTGAAGCAGTACAGTTAGGTATGGGGGATTTGAAGTCTTTGGGGACTCCTGAAAACCCCATAGGGCTTGCTTGATATAGGCTCTGAGGGGTAGGGGCTGGAGGGGAATCCACCTAAATGTATGGAATGAGACAGCTGTGTGCTCTGAGGGACCATAAAGGGTCCAGATCCCTTTAAACACTGGCATATAAGATAACACAGTCAATGAATTAGCCACCTAAACCTTTTGTTCCAACCAAGATGTATGCCCTCCTCTCCTTTCTTCCTTCAGCGTCAGCTTCCATCTACGTATTTTGTGTTCCTCATTGCTGTAGCAGTGGAACTCTGGACTTGGCATTTGGCCCTGACTGAGGTAAGATCAGTTCTCCTTCTTGCCTCTAGCGGAAGTGCCTTCCATAGTCTAGGGCAGTCTCGTGCACGATTGGCTGAGTCTCACAGGTCCATGTAGCTATGGCAGAGGGAGAGGTGCTCTCTCACGTGGCAGTCTCAGGCAGGACTTTCACTGCTTAGACAAAGAGATCGAATCAGCCTCAGTATTCCAAGGAGGAGCCAGTGTAAACTCTGGAGCAGCAAGATGACGTGCTTGTGGTTTACACTGATGCACCAGCTTGTCTGTTCGCCTTTTTGTGAGTTGAAGTTTTTGTAAATGGTTTGGCTTAGTTCTCCTTTGAGCCTGAGTTTCAGAGGTAGAGGCGATCCCTCCTCCACCCCCAGCCCCACCCTGGTGTTCATCTAGTGGGGAATGAGATTTTGCATAGAGTTTCATGTTGTAATGAGGGGTCCAGTCCCTTTATCATGATGACAGGTCATCTGCTCCTGGCCCATCTTCCCAGCGCCCCCCCCCCCCCCAGCCTGCTGACCCTTGGGGAGAGGATATACTTCCTCTTCCACACCTAGCAAGAGTGAATGCCTTTTCCTGTGTGGAATAGTGGGGGATCAGGGAGGTGAGGTGGGAGCTCATCAGGGCCGGCTCCAGGCACCAGCCCACCAAGCTTGTGCTTGGGGCGGCACTCCAGGCGCCGGGGAGAGCGGGGCCACGGCCGGGCTCGCCGCCCTCCCCCCGGTGCTCTGGCCGCCCTCCCCTCCCCCCTCCCGGCGCCCTCCCCCCGGCCGCCGGGGGGAGAGCAGAGCCCCAGCTGGGGCTCGCTGCCCTCCCCCCAGGCCCCCGGCCCCCCCCCCCCCCCCCCCGGGGGCGGGGGCCGGCGGGGGGGGGCGGCCGGAGGCTTTTTTGCCTGGGGCGGCAAAAAAGCTAAAGCCGGCCCTGGAGCTCATATCTTCTGTCTGGATTTTGCTGCTTGCTACTTTCCCATCTGACAACAGCTCTCCTGTCCCACTCTTAGACGGGGAGATTAGCAGGTGGATAAATGGGATGGACAACATATTTTCTATTGCCTGGAAAGAGGGGGTGAGCACTTCTAGGTTCCTTTGTGGTCTGTCTTTCAGTCTCTTGGACCCATCACCTTGACACGATGGTTCTAGCTGTGACAGCTGTTTTTATTTTTACACTGCCTTGCTCCAGAGGCAACATGTTCAGCCCCTAACACATAGGAGATGGAAGGCAAAGGAGTTGAGTAACAGTCCAGTAGCCCAATGGACTTTAGGTGGAAGGGAGAGAAAAGATGAGGCCAGATTAATTTTGAGACTCTCCCTGCTCAGCATTGAGTAGCTTTTCCTGGGAGTGAGAGGATTTCTTTAGGACATGTGTTGTGGATGACCCTCCAAATGGTTTTGGGGATTCAGGTATCTCCCATACCCCAGAAATTGAGATCATTAGCTAAATGTTTTTAAGGCCCCTTCTCCCATACCAGAGGTGGGCAAACTATGGCCCACAGGCCACATCCGGCCTGCGGGACCATCCTGCCCGGCCCCCAAGCTACTGGCCCGGGAGGCTAGCCCCCGGCCCCTCCCCTGCTGTTCCCCTTCCCCTGCAGCCTCAGCTCGCTCGCTCCGCCGCTGGCACAATGCTCTGGGCAGCGGGACTGTGAGCTCCTGGGGCAGTGCAGCTGCAGAGCCCGGCCTGACCCGGTGCTCTGTGCTGCATGGTGATGACGGCAGCGGCGTGGCCCGGCTCCAGCTGGGCGGTGCGCCTGTAGTGCCGCCAGCCACCGGTGCTCCAGGCAGCGCGGTAAGGGGGCAGGGAGCAGGGGGGGTTGGACAGAGGGCAGGGGAGTTCGGGGTGGTGGTCAGGGAGTTGGGGTTGTGGATAGGGGTCAGGGCGGTCAGGGGGGAACTGGGTTGAATGGGGGCAGGGGTCCCGGGGGGGCAGTCAGGAAGGAGGGATGGTTGGATGGGGCATCAGGGGGCAGTCAGGAGCAGGGGTTCCGAGGACAGGGAGAAGGGGTGGTTGGATGGGGCAGGGGTCCCAGGGGCACCGTCAGGAATGAGAGGAGGGGTTGGATGGGGCAGCGGGGGTCCGGGGCGTTCAGGAGACAGGGAGCGGGGGTATGGATGGGGCAGGGGTCCCGGGGGGGCCGTCAGGGAACAGGGGATGTTGGATGGGGCAGAAGTCCCAGGGGGGGCAGATAGGAGGTGGGGGCCGGGCCACGTCCCCCTCCCTAACCGGCCCTCCATACAATTTATGAAACCCGATGCGGCCCTCAGGCCAAAAAGTTTGCCCACCCCTGTCCCATACACTACACTCCATTCCAATTATGACTTCTTTTCAGCCTCAACCTTCTATTCTCCTTGCCCCTCATCCTGACCACTCTCTAGCCCCTCTTCCAGCAGCCCCGTAACCTTCTGGTGATATACCATATGAGTGAGCTCTCTGTATTCTGTCCTCACCTTGCCATCTGCTCTAATTAAATCTGCTGAGCTTGGAGACTTCACTGGATCAGAGGTGCCTAGAATTCCATGCTTCCCATCCCCTTGCTGGGACACTAATGGAATGTTCTAGAATATATCAGGTCTAAAGACAGCACCCAGGCCTGGGGAGGTCAGATTTGCTTAACTCCAAGAGGGAACTTAGCAAAGGTGGCAGGCCTGGTGAGAATGGGAGGGAGGGAATTGGGTTGGATTAGACCTCCCCAAGATTTGAGGGAAAGATTCCAGCTAGAGCCTATTCTATCTGAGTTTGGACCTCACTCTGGTTATATCCTGGGCTCCACACAACACTCTTTTCCCCAGTGGTCCAGGGACCTTTTGCAGCCAACTAATAACTGAATGTTACTTTTCTCTTTGGCTTTTCCTCAGGATGAAGATGAGACGCCACAAGCTCTTTCTGACTCTGTGCATGGGTGGTCTCTGCCTCATCTCCGTCCTGCACTTCCTCAAGGCCCTCTCTTACGTCACCTTCCCCCGGGAGCTGGCTTCGCTTAGCCCCTACAGCTTCTTCTGGAACAATGCACCTGTCACGCCGCAGGTCAGCCCTGAGCCAGGAGGGCCGGAGTTTCTCCGCACGCCTCTATACTCCCATTCACCCCTGCTCCAGCCCCTGCCACCCAGCAGGGCCAGCGAGGAGCTGCACAAAGCTGAGTTTGTACTGCAGGAAGACACGTCAGAATATTTTGTCCATACCAAAGCTGGCGGCGTCTGCTTCAAGCCAGGCACCAGGATGTTGGAGAAGCCACCAGCAGGCCGGACGGACGAGAGAGAAGATGGTGCTGCTTCGGGGCACCCAGCTCGCAAGCCGCTGAGCAACAGCGGCACAAAGCGGCGCAAGTGGGTGGAGTGTGTGTGCCTGCCTGGCTGGCATGGCCCTAGCTGTGGGGTGCCCACTGTGGTCCAGTACTCAAACCTGCCCACCAAGGATCGGCTGGCACCACGTGATGTACCCCGGCGGGTCATCAATGCCATCAACATCAACCATGAGTTCGACCTCCTGGAAGCCCGTTTCCATGAGCTGGGTGATGTAGTGGACGCCTTTGTGGTCTGCGAGTCGAACTTCACGGCCTATGGCGAGGCGCGCCCACTAAAGTTCCGCGAGATGCTCCTCAATGGCTCCTTCGACTACATCCGCCACAAGGTGCTCTATGTCTTCCTGGACCACTTCCCTCCCGGTGGGCGCCAGGACGGCTGGATCGCCGATGACTACCTGCGCACCTTCCTGACGCGGGACGGCACCTCCCGCCTACGCAACCTGCGCCCGGACGACATCTTCATCATTGACGATGCGGACGAGATCCCGGCCCGCGATGGCGTGCTGTTCCTCAAGCTCTACGATGGCTGGACGGAGCCTTTTGCTTTCCACATGCGCAAGTCCCTCTATGGCTTCTTCTGGAAGCAGCCCGGCACCCTAGAGGTGGTTTCTGGCTGCACAGTGGGGATGCTGCATGCCGTCTACGCCACGGATGGGATCCGCCTCCGCCGCAGAGAGTACTATACTATGCCTGGCTTCCGGCAGTATGAGAACAGCACAGGCCACATTCTGGTGCAGTGGTCGCTGGGCAGCCCCCTCCATTTTGCTGGCTGGCACTGCTCCTGGTGTTTCACCCCAGAGGGCATCTACTTCAAATTGGTGTCAGCCCAGAACGGGGACTTCCCCCGCTGGGGTGACTACGAGGACAAGCGGGACCTCAACTACATCCGGGAACTGATCCGGACTGGTGGCTGGTTCGACGGCACCACCCAGGAGTACCCCCCTGCTGACCCCAAGGAACAAATGTATGCCCCAAAGTACCTGCTAAAGAACTACCAGCGGTTCCACTACCTGCTGGAGAATCCCTACCGGCGGGCGGAAGGGGCTGGATGAAGGGAGCGGGACTTGCATGGGAAATGGGAACATTAGAGCAAAGGGAAAGAGTGAGGTGTCTCTTTTATTTTCCTTCTTCATTTTGTTTCCAGCTGAGGTGCGTAGTTTCTCTGCATTCTCTGCCTTTCCAGGAGTGAGACTTGGGGTGGGATTCCCAGTCACACTAACGAGGGCCAGAGGGAAGGAGAGGAAATGGGAACTGGCCCTGCAGAAGGCAAAAAGACTATGGCACACCTCCTCAATCTTGCCTGCAGGGTGGAGAGATCTTATCCAGGGGGCAGATTTTCCTACACGAGGGTGGGCAGAGGGAGCAGCTGCCCCCACCGCGGAACAGGTTGCATGCACATGTGAGTCTGGACTTGTCAATGAGCATGTGAGTGGGCGGGCGAATGTATGATCATGTGCATGTGAGTGGATGTGTGTGTCACGCGTGTTCATGTGAGTTTGTGTGTACATGTGCAAAAGCATCTCTATAGGCATTTATTTTTTTACCTGGTATTCTTTAAAACATAGCCTCCCTCTACCAACCTCATGTCAATGCATCTCTCCTGGGCTCCACTCTTTGTCTAATGTGCTGCTGGTCCTGGAGCTTGCAGAAAAGGGAAGTGGGGTGGAACACAAGTGCTTGTACTTCTTCCCTACCCCCACCTCACTGTCGCGCTGCACCCCACACCTTAGCTCTGCCCACAAAGCCTCAGGCTGTGTCCCAGCAACCTGCTTTCGTCAGAGGAGCAAGCTGCAGGGGTCTTCACTAGGTTGATTGTGTGTTGTGTTCACAAGTGTGTGGATTAGTGTGTGCACGAGTGTTAATGTGCATGGATTTGGCAGATGTGTGGCAGAGTGCATGTGTGTGTGTGAGAGGGGTGGGAGAGTGGCAGGATTCAGAAGCTCTGCTATCTACTTAGGGGTTAAGGATATTCAGGGAACCCTCTACAAGCCTACTGGGTATAGGGGGAGGCTGGGAAGCTGTAGGCTCTGCGTGCCAGTGCTCCATAAATGGGCCTATTCAGAACCAGCTCTGGAGAAGGGGTAAGAATGGGGACAACCTTAGGGAGGCACTGCTGGCAATGTCTGTGGCAGGGAGCCTCCCTCCCCCATATAACAATACAGTACAAGTGCTGGTTAATCCTCTTCTCCCTGGAGTAAAAGGGAGGGGAAGGGGAAATCCCAACCCCCTACAGCCTAGCCCGGGTGTTGGGGCCAGTGGGATACAGACTGCATCGAGGCACAGCACCCGCCCCAGGGACACAGAGAATCCGCTGGGGAATTACTCCTGGAACGCTGCCGCCTTGTGGCTGGGAGGATGCGTGATCCAGACTCCTTGTCTGGACTGTGTGGAGAGTCATGCAATGAGGAGGGGAAGTGACAGAACTGGATTTAAGAGCCGAACCAATTGGAGCCAGCGAGCTAAGCTCTCCATCCCTGTTGCCCCTCCACCGGGTTTTTAATGACAGGGCTTGTTTCTTTCCTCGGCTCTCTTGGTTCTTTGGGGTGACAGCCACCTTCCCCCTCTCCCAGTTTGAGCAAATGGCTCCGTAGTGTGTATGGAGCCCAATCCGTAGCATGTAGCAGGGTGAAGCTATGTTATTCTTCCAGCTGAGAGAGTACGCTGAAGAGAGAAATGATGGAAACATGATTCCCCACCCTCTTGTTTGGAATAAGCATGGGGGGAGAAAAGGGAATGTTCCCTACAAGGTGCGATCATCCCCCACCAGCCAGGCCAGCTGTGCTGAAGAGAGGGGGCTTTCTTTGCCAGTGGGAGCGTAAATCACCCTGACGATCAGGACTCACCATCCTTGTTTTTTTGCCTGGATTCCCATTTCTGCTACTCTCTTTCCCCCCACCTTTGTGCTCCCTCCTCCGTCTGTCTGGGGGAAAGTGACAGGTCCTAGAGCTCAGTTCTAAGGTTGTGCCTTCCTCCTGATCCTATAAGTATTTCTAAGGTTCTTATGTTATCTTGGTATCTATTCCCCTAGCACTCTGAATTAACTAAATTCCTTTTTCCAGCAGCTGTGGGTCCAAAGTACACTTGAGATAGAACAACATAAAGCACCAAGATTGGAACCCCTTGGTTTTTGACTGATCTGAGTCATGTTTAATCTTATCTCACTCCTAGTCCCATGACAGGTGCTCGAAAGAGGCTAAACATCATTTCACTTTATTCACAACTGCTATCATCGCCCACTACTGTCTGCTCCCTGAGATCATTGAAGGCTGGCCCACGGAATGGGAGAAGGGGAGATTTCCACCCTCACCCCTGGGAGAAAGCTGTTGCTGTGCTGCCCAAGCTGAGCTTTATCTGCATGACCCATCAGCTAGGGTGTGAAGGAGGCGTGTTTCAGACAGAGGGGTGGCACCTCGCAGAGCGGGGTCTACAGGCCAGTCTGCCACAGAGAGTTCATGATTACGGTGAAGGAACCCGCATGACTTACAGGAACTGGAGGGTGATTGCAAAAAGAGGGGCATATGTTAGGGGAGAAGACTTTGCAGCAGTGGGTATAGACAGCTGGGCAGTACTACAATCCTAGGTGGAGGCAGAGGGAGAGCACCATGCATCACCACGAGGGCCTGGTGCAAGATATTGCAGAGAGGTATGGAGGGACCCAGCCATTGCTCATTTTCTTTCATTCTTGGAGAAAGAGTGAGAGCCCAGAACCTGCCCTCAGACCCTCTGCTTTGACTCCGCCTTTCCACAGAAACAACAAACAAACCAAAGTCCAGTCCCTGCTGACTGGAGGGGAGAGAGAGACACACACACTATATATCTTTGTCTGCAAACTCCATAATGCTGGGAGGTGGTCAGCTGCCTTGATGACACCATATAGCTAGAACTTGAGTCCCTTCCTTGCAGCACAGTTCTAGCCACTAATCTGGGGTGGATTTAGAACATCTGGTTAACACCAGCAATCTTGCTGGATAGGAAGCGATGTGGGATCAAGCAGACCACAATACATCCACAGTACTGTACCGCCTCCCCTGGCACAGCACCTTTTCCCCATTGTCCCCTCCCCTCTTCCATTCGATGGGCTCTCTGGGCTTCGCATTGCACTGTAGGGCGTGCTTGCCTTGTCTAGGGTTTTGCAGTTGCCTGTTGTGAATTTCTAATGCACCCATCGCTGCAGTAGCTAGGCCTGATCCAGCACAGAGATATGGCCTGCTTGTTCCCCTTCCCTCCCTTAATTCCTCACTGGCCCTCTTCCCTCTCTCTCTTTCAGTTCCCTTTTCTCACTAACAGCCACACTTCTCCCCCCCTCCCCCTCCCCGGTCCCCCAGGCATGAGGAACAGATTCCATTGTAACTCGGTAAGAATTGAGCTCCTCTGGGGACTCTTGAGAGGGCTCTCCGTCCCAAAGTCCCTCTCCCCGCCCCCTCCTCACTAGTTAGTTAGAAATGAAATTTGAAACAGGCTTCTGTGTTGAGGGACTTTCAGGAGAAATGTGTTCGGTTTTACTCTTCATTTTTGTAATTGTTCAGTTTAAAGCCAAACCAGTTTATATCTGTGGTATTTAACTTGCATGGCTAATCCTCTCTTGATTGGGTTTAGAGAAATTGACCTCTTGTGGATTTAACATCTTCCACTTCCATCATCCCTTGAAGGCAGCCGGGTGGGACTTTTGGGAACGGGCTCTTGCTGGTTGATTTCTCAGGCCAGCAATCTGCCCCAACCAGGCCCTGAAGGAATGGGAAGCAGAGGTTACATATGTAATTTGATCAGATAGCTGGATGGGTGCCTATAGGAGAGAGAGACAGATTAAGCTTGAACAAGGAGCAACACAAAAGTGCAGGGTCTCAAATTGTGGCAAGGGAGAAATGGGTGTGATGATAAGGATTGGTCCAGAGCCCTCATTCCCACAAACCATTGATATGAGCAGTCTGGCTTCTTTGATTGAGTCTTGATCTGGCACTGAAGATGCTGCAATGGAGTTTAGAAGGGAAAGCTTAAAAAACCCAAACCTGTATCTGGGACGTGGTTAATGACAAGAGGGAAGGGCTGGGACAGGATTTCACAGCTGTTATATGCTATTTGTTGCAGCAATCACAACTGAGAATGAGTAGTACAGCTCACTTCCTATTTGCGCACAAACTCTTAGACAGCTGCTGCTTCACTCATGGCTAAGTGTCTTTTCACCTTTAACCCCTCACTACCCTTCTTAATTTGAACACGGATGAGGCAGCCTCTGCAATTTTTGGGACTTACACTCTGCTGCGTGTCTGTTTCAGCCTGTTGTATTAATGTCCCCTGCTCCTTTGTAGTTTTCAAGGCTCTCTCACCCCATCCCCCCACATTAAGTCCTGAGAGGCGGACTCTTTCCAGGTTATTTATAAGTGGGGGTGTGGACATGGTGTTGGAGCAGGTGGGTCCCCCTTACTGGACTTATTGGCTTGAAGGGGCTTCTCCCTATCCCATCAGTGGAGCTGGTGGCAAACCTTGGTGATGCTCAGAGCCAGATTGAGTATGATATCCCTAGGGGAACAGGAGACAAAGAATCGGATTATTTTTACGGCTCTGTGTTTATTATGAAAAGGAAAACATCACAGTTCTCTACTTAGTGTTCTTTCCTCCAATATTTGCAGTATGTTCCTGGGGCTGAGGTATTCCCTAGAACTCCTGTTTGCCTCCAGCCAGGGGACACAGTGCAACGTATCATTTATATGCTGAGGGTGGCAAATGGAGAGGCTCTGATTCATCCCATTAATGGGGCAAGGCTGGTGGAGCTCAGAGCAGCATTTTTTCCAGTTATCCTCAAGCAAGGTATCCTCCTGAGACCATAGCTTCTTCTCACACCCTGGAACCACCCCACCTCATGTCCCTTTGTCACCCCCTTTCTTCATTGACTTTCATGGCTGCCGCAGATCTGCACTGTGAGAACCCTGGAGCTGGTCATTCCTGGTCCTGTTAGTAAACACTGGTTAGGAAGGCAGTGGACAAGGGAAAGGTCAGCCTGGATTTATAGACCTCTAAAACTGGGGAGGAGGGAGCAGAAGGGGAAGGGACCCCAAATCCTTTGGTCTTTGTGTTCAGAGTTCAAAAACAAACAAAAAAACTTCAATCTCTCTGAGAAGTTGGAGGAGCTCACCCTTAATGTGAAAATATAGGAGTATAAATGTGGGGTGGAAAAAAATGGGAGGGGTTTTAACCCCAACTGTCAAGAAAAGGGAGGAGAGTATAATGCAATACACATACACTGGGAATATCAGAGCTGCAACCAATGGTATAGAAAGGATGAATACAAGGCCAAAAGCCAAACTGAGAATTCAAACCACTGTCCATTCTCATTCCTGCAGGAATGATCAAGCAGTATCCTCTGTGGAGCAATGCACTAGCATTCCCATGGGACTGATGCTATCCAGGGAACTGACTTGTGGTGTTGCCCAGAGCGCCCTCTTTTGGCAAAGGAATGCGTGGACTTGCCAAAAAAAACAACAACCCTGTAATTTATAAACACCAGTAATAATTAATTTTTGTAAGGATTAATCAAATGTACATTCTGAAATCATTTTCTCTGTAAATGGTTGGATTTCATTTCACCCTTAAAGGGATACTTTAAAAGGAGATGATAAAAATAATAAAAAATTTACAAAGTATGATGGGAAACCAGATGGTGTCTGTGGCTGTCTTTATTTCAGCCCACATAGTCAGGAACCCATGGAAAAGAGGCAAAGAGGGTGCTGCCTCTGGCTGTGGCACATCTCTTCCATTCCTGAGTAACCCTGCACCACTTGGGGGCTTTAACACTAGAACCTTGGAATGCAGAAGCAATATTCTACCCAGTGACTTAAAGGAGCAACTGCTCTAGCTCAGCCAACAGAGGGTGCTCATGCACCCCACTGAGCAAGTCTGATATATTTCACCCAATAGAGCCCAGGGCAGTGTAGGCATAATCACATGGATGTTTTTTGGCAATTGTGAGCCAGGATTTCTGTCATGTCTGTAATAATATTGTTGGCTAGCAGTGTCCTTTTACACAATGAATGTTCTTTAGTGATAGCCCAAGGCCCCATAAATGTCTATAGGGCTAGGAGCCCCTCCTCCCTTAATCAGGCCTTGCAGCCCTTTGAGGGAACGGCTGTAAAAGGGTAGGTCTGATATATTTCCTTCACCCAGGGCAGTGGGTCCCCAACCCCTGTTCACCCCAGGATAGCCCGTACCCGAAAGAGTGGCTTCACTAGCTCATCCAGGTGTGGGAACTGCTACACTGTAAAAAAGTGTGACACGCTGTATTCCAACCAGTAAGGAGCAGTTGTAGCGCACACATGGCAGCCACACCATCCTTGTAGCATAGACACGCTGCCCCCAACATAGTTCAGTGATTGGAGGGACCTATTACTCCTGGGGGAATTCTGCACCAAAAAATTAAAACTTTTGCGTACATTTTAAAATTCTGCAAATGGTATTTGTCAAAATCACACTACATAATCACGCCAGTTTCAATTATTTTGATAATTTATTTCGAAATACCTGTCAGCAAGTATGGCTGTAACAATACAGACACAAAAATTCCCCCAGGAGTAGAGAGTTAAAGAAACCCCTATGACAACCCAGTTCCTGTTTCTCTGCCCCCTTCCCCCGCCCCGAGCCCAGCTGCAGGGCCCCCCTTGCCCAGATACCTGCTCGCCCTTCCCCCCCCCCCCCCCAGAGCCCAGGGAACCAGTGGGAGAAACAGCCTGATGCTCAGTCCCAGGCTTGCATGGAGTTTCCCATGTGCCACCCTCTTCTTCCCTCAGGGCATGCTGGGAACTGCAGCTGCCAGGAACCCTCTAGTTCCCTCTCCTTCCCTCCACCCCCCCGGCACCCCCTAGTGGTGGCTAGCAGCTCCACAGCCAATTTCTGTGGGGGGGGGGGAAGGAAATTCTGCACACACATTAATTTCTGCAAAATTCTGCACTGCACAGTGGTGCAGAACTCCCCCAGGAGTAACCTATTAAGCATCAAGCAGATCCATCCTATGGCATTGTTGTCGGCTCTCTTGCTTTTGCTGTGAGCAACAGGCTTTCATCCAGGGCAGGAGCCAGTCTGGAGATGACAGGTTTCAGGCCTCTTGCGAATTTCAGCTGTGCTCGGGGAGTACCCCTCTCATTGTCTGCCTGCTCCACCTTCCCACCTCCTGGGGTACAGCAGCCAATCACAGGCACAGCTTCCTCCCACTTCCCGCAGCCACCTGACTGCATTTTCACAGGAAAGGAGGAGAAGCAAAAAGCACTCAGCAGCTGGGGGTGGCTCTGTTCCCTCTTCTTCCTGCTCCTCTGTGCCTCACCCCTCCCTCCCTGAAACATCCCCACTGAGAAGGGAGCAAAGGGGGTGAAGAACCCTGAAGCTGCCCACCCCCAGTCTGGCTGGGGACAAGGGGACCCTGCTGCGGCTGCCTCTGCCCCAGGCCTGGGAGAGTAGGGGTGAGGAATCCCAGGAGGAGCAGAGGTGAGGCTGGGGAGGCTGAACTGATGGGGGATAGGGGCTGGGTGGGTAGAAATGATGGGGATGGGCAAACCTGATGATGGGGTAGAACTGATGTGTGGACTGTGGGGGACAGGATTGATTTGGAGGTTGGGAGCAGAATTAATTGCTACGCAGAGGAGATATGGGGGCAAGAGCTCCTGCAGCAGGGGCCAGTCACCTCTAATACACTAGGGAGAGTGGGCCACACACACACGCGCAATGAGCGGGGAGAGTTCAGAAATCAAAAGATAGACCAACGAAACCACAATAGAATTCTTGTTTAAAAATCTCATGATTTTGGGAGCAATCATGATTTCTGGGAGGTGGGGTCTGGACTCATGATTTTTTTTTTTTAAACTCCATGGCTGGCACCACTGCATTGCTGACGCTTATCAGCCCCCAGAGAAGTTGTTGGTTGATATAGATAGAAGTACAGTGTTCTTAGACATCCATTGGAATCCACCAGCTCACCTGCCAAATCAGCTAGCCCTAAAAATGGATGGTGCTGAGTGTCAGGCGCATACCTGGCTGTTGCTGACAATGAAAGAGGCAGGGGCTATGGCTGGATGAGTAGAAGGGCCACCGCCTGGGGTCCAGAAGCCTAAAGTGTGGGCCCAGACAGAGCCCCTGCAGCTGCAGATCTTGGTGGCAGTAGCAAATATTCAAACGAGAACTTTGAAGGCTAAAGATGAGAAAGGTTCCAGGTGCTCAGCAATTGAACAGGGTGTTTTGACCCTGGGATAGGTGAGCCTCATTCCAAAGGAACAGGTGACAGCCTCTACTGTCCTTAGAAAGGGAGCCTGGTCCTGATTATTTGAGGCAGGGGTTGAGACCTGCCCAGAACAGTAACCCAAGCCATCCTGGAGAAGCTGTACAGAGCCAAGTTCTCTTTTCATTATGAAGGACAGGTTGTGCTGGAATGGGCTTGCCCTGTGCCTGAGCCTTGGAAAGCGGTGTGGTTCTGGTGGTATCTGGCAAATTCTTCACAGTCCTTAAACATCAGTTGGAGATGGCATAAATCTCTCCCTGATCCATGCCCATATCAGCAGCAGGTTTCCACCAGAACAGGCCTGCCTCAAAGATTTAACAATCTGAATAGAGTAGATGGTATAAGTGAGTGTAGAACAAAACAGAGAAGAGGAAGGGGAAGACAAGGATGATAATACAGACAGGAACACAAGATTGGCCTATGTACAATCTGGAGGTTTCAAAGTTGTTTATTTGATTTAAACAAGATAAATGAACAAAAGATATTAATGAACGTCTAAAAGGCCACCAACTCTGTAAAGCCAATAAATGTAGTTGTAGATGGGAAAAGTGCTATGAAGGCACAACGTATTATTCATTATTTCTCATTTTTTGCCTCTTACCTTCTTTTTGATCAATTGTTACCATAAATATATTACTTATCTATTCCTGATCTTGGTCCTTTAGACATTTCTTTGGGGATATGAATTTCCCTCAACTCCAGGTCTGTAAATAAGTATTAAACTATTTACTAACTTTAAGCATAAGAAACAATTCTTTACTCTTGAGAATGTATTTATCTGGTTATAGGAGGGTCTGCTTCTGATCAAAAGCTCTAGGGAGCTTTACAAGTTACAATTCAGATCTTGATCATAAGGTTTTCCTCTGCCCTGTGACAATTCCATTATATGGACAAATGGAGCTCTCTATTTTCTACTAAGCAAGTTCTTCTAAGGATTGATAGTGGAAGGTGATCAGTGAGACCACCCACATGCTTAAATTTAGGCATGGATTTAAGTGCTTTGGTGGATCAGGACAAGAGTGCTCGCCACCTTGCAGACTTGAGCCATATTGGATTACTCTGGTAAAGCAAGTAAAGATTTCACTAGCTTATTTGAATCTCTGGTCATTTGCATGGAGAGTTACAGACAGATTATGTGCTTCTCAACTATATATATACATATATAATCATGCTATGGACACAAGGGCCAAATTAATCACTGGTGTAAATGGGCACCGCTCCAGTGGTTTCAACAAAGCTGTGCCCATTACCCCAGCAGAGAATCTGGCCCAATTACTTCATGGTTAATAGCATGGATAGAATTTATGACCCTAGAAAAAAGACATTATGTGGCTGTCAGATTGATCACTTACATAACTGTATTCAAGACTTTAGCATCCTTGTTTTGAAATATACTGACAGCCTGAGAAAGGGGCTTTAGGTGTAGGTGAAAGATAGTAATTTAGATAACCAATCTGTGCTGGAGTGAATATGGTTTTATGACTTTTTTTATAGTTGTCCTAAACTCTAGTTTTGGTAAAAATCCATGGTGTACGGAAAAACAGACAGGACAGGCGTTAAAGAGATGATCTATTTAATTCAATTATTACAGACAAAAATATGTAAACTTCTCTACTGAAGTGCATCGCTTCTCTCAGATTAAAAACTAATTTTCCATGTATTTTATATGTATTTGTGTATACACACACACACACGCATGCGCTTAATGGAATAAATTATGGCTATATTGCTCTCTAAGATTAATGATGAAGACATGGTAGACATAGGAATTGCCATGCCAGATCAGAACAATTGTCCACCTGGTCCAAACCTCCCTTTCTGATAGCGGCCAGCACCCAATACTTCAGATGAAGGTGCAAGAAATCCCATAGTGAACAATTATGGAAAAACCTCCCCATAGTGGAAGTTTCTGTCTATCTCTTCTCAGTCATAGTGTCATAGAGTTTGAGATCAGAAGGGACCACCAGATCATTCATTCTGACCCATATATCAGAAGCCACCCACATCACCCAGCTCTTGCACACTAAACCCAACTACTGAAATTATTACAGCCCACAAGAAACTAGACTATTATGTGTCACAGGCAGAGAGCAAGGTGCACCAGTGCCTGAGTCCCCCACAAAGGTAGGAAAATGATTATGTGAGATATACCCAGATAATCCTGGCAAGTGACCTGCACTCACACGGCTGCAGAGGAAGGTGAAAAACCCTCAAGGTCCCTGCCAATCTAACCTGGGGGGAAATTGCTTCTCGACCCCACATATGGTGATCAGTTAGAGCCTGAGCATGTGAGCAAGAACCAGCCAGTGGTTAGCTTATTCCCAAAAGTATAAGGGCTTATATCCCTCATGACTTTTTTTTTATCCTATGTAATGTAACTGTGGACGGTCTCATTATCCAATATCAATGTCCAATCCCAATTAGAATCCTACTAA